TAATGACGGGAGCAAGGGTCCTTGCCACCCACCACGCCCTCGCCGACTTGCGCCCCCCTCCGACCCCTGGTGCCTCAGGCTCCCTCTCAAGCCTCTCAAGCCGACACTTGCGCCGGCGTCGTCGATGTCTCGTACGAGGGCGAGACGGGCGAGATCTAGCCGAGACACAGCCGAGATCTAGCCGAGATCTAGCCGAGATATGGGGTCAACCGGCATGTCTCGCACCCCTGCGGTTCGCCAGGCCCCGAGATGCAGCCGAGATAGGGCCGCACCGCCGCCCGAGTACAGCCCGAGGCTCCGCCCCACACGCACACCTTCCCGGACCGTCCCAGGACCCTTCCTGGAGCCTCCCCCTGCAGGTGGCGAGACGCACCCTCCGCGAAGGCTTATTGCCGGGCGCGCTCGGCTTCTCGGCGTCAACGGCACCAGCACTGCCGAGTCGCCGGCGGCGGCCGCGGTGCGGATGGCTGACGAGGAGGCGGCAGCGGCGGCGGCGGCGGCGGCTCGTATGGATGAAGCGGCGGCGGCGGAGGCGGCGGCGGCGGCGGCGCGAAAGGCGGCGGCGGCGGCGGCGGCGGCGGCTGCAGCGACCGCAACAGAGGTGGAGCAGGCGGCGGGGGGCGGGGGCGCTGACGGGGACGCCGGGGCAAGCAGACACGGCAGTAGCGACGGCGACGGCGACGGCTGCGAGGCGGGTGAGGAGCTCGCTCTTCCTCCCTTGCTGCTGCGTGTCGCCGTGGCCCAGCCGGTCTTGCCCCCCTGCGCCCATGCTCCAGACAGCGCCGTTGGCGGTGACAGCAAGGGCATCCCTGCTACTAGTGGTGGCAGCCGACACGCTCACGGCGCGCTGCCCGCCAAGCAGCGACTGATAGCAGGCGTTTGCGCCACACCCTCGCCCGCCTTCGGCCCACCGTAGACGAGGATCCGGCGCGCCAGGGGCAACGCGGCGATGGACACCTCGCTGCGGGCGTTCGCGAGGGCGTGAGTGAGGGTCCTCCCCACCGTTGCCCCTCTGACTACTGCACTGATGTCTGGTGGGGATGCCTTTCCCTGAGGACGCACACACCGCCTCGTGTGCAACGCCCCGTGTGTCCCGCGTGCGCGTGTGTGCTAGGACGTGTGTAACACTGACTGACTCTTCGTTTTGCTCGCCCTCGCTCCACCGTAGGCGAGGAACCGGCGGACCAGGAGCAAAGGCTTCGGAGTCGCCCGCAGCCGCAGCAGTCACCTCTCTACTCGTCGCCGCCGCCGCCTCCCCCTCGTCCGGCACGAACAGAGGCGGTGGGGCAGGACGCCGTGGTGGCAGCGCGCAAGGAAGCCGCCCAGTCCCTGCCGAAAGGCACTTCCGACGAGCCTCGCGGCGGCGGCAACGTTCACAAGCGGCGGCGGGCCGGGGCGTGGGCCGTAGCTGCCTCCTCCACCTCTGCCTCTGCTCCCGCCGTTGCAGCGGACAGCGCCAGCCCGCTCGCAGGGGGGAGCGCAGCCGCACCGGCCGTGGAGGTGCGGCGCGGCGCGCGTGTGCGCAGGTGGCTCGACTCCTTGAGGCCAGCCCATCACCGCACGAGGCTTTGCGACCCAGAGCAGGAGTGTGGCCCTAGGTGTGCGACGGACGATTGGGTCGACCCGTGGCGCGCAACATGTGTGGGATGACTTCTGGCACCACGACCGCTCTCTGAACGGCTCAAGTTGTGCGTAGGTGCGAGCTCTCTCGCGCCGGGCTCGTGGGCAACGCGGTACCTGACCCGCAGCGTTCGGGCCATGAATGACGGGGGAGGGGCGATTTACTGTACACAACATCCGCCAAGTACGTCTACGCGGCAAGTACACAGATTGTATTAAACGCGCTGCACACAGCATGCGCCGCCTTGCATCAAAGTCAACGAGCTACGACGCGTCTTTTGACCGTCTTGTGTGTGAGAGAGCAGCAGCCAGCAGGGCGAGAGGCGCGGCAAAATATGACACATTTAACATGAGAGCAGGGCGGCGACTTCGATGTTCGAAATTCGGAGAGCTTAACGTGGCTCCTGCACAAAGACCGCAGGGCGGGGACCTGTTCCTTTTTACCCATCTCCTAGTAGAGGTGTCCGTTTTATTTATTTATTTATTCGTGGGTGAGAGCGAAACGAAGCCCTCTTCAGTCGCTGTGTACGAACCGGTGGCGGTGAATACGACTCGCTCGAGGGCGCGTCACGAACGCTTGTACCGGAACTTGTCGTAAAGGAGTGTGCCGGGACAAGGCCGCACGTTGCCCTTAGCCGGCGAGGTAGACCTCGAGGTCAAATTGCAGCTCTCGCGCTGTAGCGTCGACGAGCTCGAGCGGCGCGGCGCAAGAGAGGCGGACCTGCGTGCATCAGCGGCGCGTGGATCGGGCGGCTGCGGCCCGCGTGCAGCGAACGAGTCGGGACACTCTCAAGGCAATTCTGGGCAGCGACGGACCGCGTCCAACTCCTCCGCTCGCGAAGCGCGGTGCAGCAGCCGCAGCCGCAAGAGCGACGCCACCTGTCGAGGATCAGAGGAATGAGGGACAGATGAGGGCTAGCGTTGAGGCCGAGCTCTGGGACACGACGCATCGGCGGCGCGAGGACCTGCGTCAGCTCGGGCGCCATCGGCTGGCCGCCTCCAACGCCCGCATGCCGCAGCGCCGCGCAGATCGCGAGCAGCCGCTGCATGGTGAACGGGTGCGGCTCGTCGTACGTGGCGCGTGCGCGCTTAGCGCGCCGCGAGGAAGGCGCGCCTGCTCACAGCGCGAGGGTGTGAAGGGGGAGCCGGCGCTCCACTACTCGCCCTGCAACGCCGTACCAAAGCACGGCAGCGGCCTCTTGGCGAATCTCGCCGAATCTCCGGTAATCTCGCGCACTCCCGCGCACTCCCGCGCAATCTCGCGCAATCTCGCGCAATCTCGGCTACTCTCCCACCTTTCTGGCGGCTCGCGAAGAGTGCCGAGTCCATCCCCGGCCGGCAGCGCGATGCGAGGTATGCGGAGAGGAGAAGCCACTTGGCGCTGGTGGGGAGGGCGAGGCCTCCGCCGTCGGCGCCGTCCACGGCGCGCGCAGCCTCCGCCTTGCGCGTGAGCGGCGCCTGTTGTGAACGTGGAGGGTGTGAGGACGCGCCGTTCGCGCACCACGCGGTGTTGGTGCACTCCGGAGAGCACCTCGCGCGCGTACACGCGCTTGCGCGCCTCTTGCAGGCACACCTTGCCCGCCCGCAGCAGCGCTCCCTACCAGCAACACGTCACGCGTCGGCCACCGAGCTTGCCACCACAGCCCACCCCGGAGCCGCCGGCGCGCCTTGTCGCCGGCGTCGATGAGCCCGTCGTGCACGGGTCGCATCCACTCGCCTGAGAGGTTCGGCCGGGGCGGCGTCGGCGGAAGCGAGGGAGGAGGTGGCGGAGGCGAGGGAGGAGGTGGCAGAGGCGAGGCGGAGGCGAGGGAGGAGGTGGCGGAGGCGAGGCGGAGGCGAGGGAGGAGGTGGCGGAGCGGGCGAGGGCGTCGGCGGCGGTGGAAAAGGGGGCGGCGGCGTAGCTGGCGGCGTCGGCGACTGGCTCGGAGGTTGGAGGCGAGGGCGGAGACGGCGACGGCGACGGCGGGCCGCGGGAGGCGAAGGCGGGTGGATCAAATCGAGGTTGGCTTGGCGCTGGACCCCCCGCCAGGCGGCGAGGGTGTGGGAGGGGACTGGGAAGGAGATGCTCACCAAAGGCGCCACGGCACAAGTACCGCAGCTCGTGCAGGTCGCGGCAGATCTCGTACGAGTAGGAGACGAACAGCGGCAGGAAGTCGCGCCACGCCGCCTCGCACCCCTTTGGCGCATCCACCGCCAGGATGGCCTCAAGCTGCGCCTTGGAGTAGCCTAGGCGGTAGCGCCGGTGTATAGGGAGGGGCGGCGGGTGCTGAGGGGTGCGTCCCAGTCCACACCTCCAAACCGCACTGTGGCGAGCGGCGCAAAGGCGGTGAGCTCGTGGGCCTCGGGCCAGAGAGCCTCGGCCACGAAGACGATCGAGACGGCGGCGGAGCCGCAGAGGGTGTGAAGTGAGAGGAGGAGTGTGAGCACCTCCTTGCGCTCGCCGAGCCCCGCCGCGTTGTCAAACACGAGCACCAACCGTCCGTACTCGCTCACAGCCTGCTGCAGGCCAGCGACAAAGGCAGGGGCCGAATCGCAGGGCGCCCAGCCGGTGTAGCCATTCGAGGCGCTCGGCACGTGCCGGTGAAGCTGCGTGAGCGCCGATTCGAATAGGGACCGCGCCGTGGAGCACGTGACGCAGTCGAGAATGGCGTGCCGCGCGCCGAGGGCCTGCAGCACCGCGCGCAAGACGCCGCTCTTTCCGCCTCCCGACGGGCCGTAGACGAACGTGGGCAGTGCCAGGTCAGGCTCCTCGAGCAGCTCCCACAGCCTATCGATTTCTCGCTCCCTTCCAGGCCAGGCCGAGCCGAGCGCGCTTCTTGTTGCCGCCATTCTGGTTTTCCCTCGCAATTGGCTTTTTTCTTTTTTCCTCAGGGTGTGCGACGAGGGCGCCGATGAAAGCGCTTGACGACATCCTCTCCTTAATCTCGTCACCGCACGGACATCTCGCACACCCTGAGGGATAGGCTGTCACCGACGATTGTCACCGCGCTCCTCCTCGCGAGCGAGGAGGACCACCTCGACTGCGCCAGGCTGCTTCTCGAGGCTGGCGCGGCGACTGATTAGTAGCGACGTGGCCTTTTGAAAGTAGAGTCGAGAGCCGTTGAAATCGAGCTGCACAAACCTGAGCGGTTCGGCGCACGACCCCGATGCGTCATCATCCCGATCGTAAGAGTGCTACTGGGCTCTGGCGTCTGGGGCCTTCGACGTTTCGGATCGGAATGGAAACCTAGCGCGGTCCGAGCGCGGAATCGGTGCGTGTGTCCAGTGGAAAAGTGCTGATATGCAGATAGCAATGATACATAGAGAGAGAGCTGTATCAGCTGCGCGACGACCAAATTCAAAAATCTCGATCAAAAACCGCACGCACCGTGTCACACACGCCCCGGTACGCGACCAGTCATCAGCGTCCTGTCTCCGCAAATGGAGACGGGAGAGATCGCGCACTTGGCATCCATGCACTCTCCCACGGGGCAAAGTCTGGGCGGTCTATGCAATGAACTACTCGACACCATTCGACACCATAAGCATTCGTCGCCGAGCGGCCTGTCTCGGCCTTTCACCGTGCTGTGACCATCTTCTCGTCGGCCAGTGCCTCCAGCTCGGCGTGGAATTTGCCCGGGGTCCCGTCCGGCTGGATGACGTTGCGCAGGTAGTAGGTGTGCCTCATCTCGTCGCCGCAGCAGAGCGGGCAGGTCGCCGTCCTTCGGTCCCACTCACTGCCGTCTGCCGATGCTTCGGTCTGCACCATGTCTGAAAGGATACAGCACGACGGCACCGTGTACCACGCGGGCAGCCAGGGCACGCAGACGCAAGGGTTCACCTTGACGACCATACTTGCACTGCGCCAATCGTCGGAGAACTGGAATCCATAGCTCTGGTTCGACAGCCTGTCGCACCACGCGCCGATGTACCAGAGGAAACTCGAGCCTGCGCTCCACTGCGACGCGCTGTACTGGTGGCCAGCGCCGCCGTAGGTCTTGATCTCGCCATAGCGCGCCTCCTTGTCGAAGTCCATCCAGCGCTTGGTGAAGACCGAGCCGGCCAACGGAACGCCTTTGCTCTCAATCATCACTCCGGCGAGCTGCCGAATCGGATCGACGTCCTGGATGCAGTTTGGCCGACGCGGGTACGCGTCCTCGCAGTAGCAGAGCGCCCTGCCGCACGCCGAGGGAGGAGTGCTCTCGCGGGCGTCGTTGAGCATCCACTCGACGATTTCGGCTTTGTTTTGAACCTTGACGCACCACAGCATCTCGCAGCAGGAGAGGCTGTCCTGCGCTACAGCGTGCTTTTGCGCCGCTGCTGTGTGGCATGGATCCCAGCTAACCCGCGCTGGCACTGCTTGTTTGGGCTCAAGCGGCATGGTTGGGCAAGGATTGCACTAGGCCTTTGAAGGACGTGTCCACGGCTCAATGAATAATTTTGCGTGATTTTTCAGAAGAATTTTGTGTGAATTCTACCGCAAAGCCCTTCGACAGCTTTGCGCGAACAAATTTTCTTTTTTTACGGATGAGCCCGCCGACGCGTTTGTAGACGTATGGTGCCGACGCGCCGTCAATCAATCGGGGCGTGCGTATGCCGAGCTGGGACGCCGGGCAGCATTGGCCGCGGGCGACGGCAACGTTGTTGCTCTACGCGCGCTTCACGAGCAGGGCGTGTCGCTTCAAGGAGCACGCGCTGAGGGCCGCACTCCAGCTCAGCTCGCTGCTCACAACGGCCACACTGAATGCCTGCGAGTGCTGCACGAGCTTTTTTTTAGCAATACCAAACAACTGAAACACTCACACATCATTTGGGCCCTGGAGCCCTGGCACTAAGGTTGGTGGAAAACAGATCTTCAACGGTTTTTAAAGTACCCTACGTTGGGGGGGGGCTGTTCACGCACGCGAAACAAAAAAACACATTAGTGCGCACCGCCTCCTCGCGTGCCTCGCCTCGACAGAGGCTCGCGCCACCTCTGATTCCTCATCCGCTGGCCGCGGATCCGTCAAGGCGGTGGCCTGCGACTCCGGGGCAACCGACGTCTGTTCGTAACAAAGTACATGTATTGCTAAAACCCTCCGCCACATCTAGTCGACTCGCTTGCCTCCATGGAACGGCGCGGGGCTACGCGATTCCCGCGTTTTTCATATTTCTCATCCTGTTATACTACAAGTACCCTCATCGGTCAATCGACATCGGGTGCGGGCAGAGGCGCATCGAGGCCCTGCGCCCGCCCCGGGGCCACGGCTGGTAAGGACTCGTCCTCATCCGCATGGTGCGAGCTGTGCCGGTCCTCGCCTCCGCCCTGCGCGGTGGGCAAGTGGTGAGTGAGCGAGCGAGGCGCGGGTCCGGGTGGAAAAGGGCGGATGTCGCGAGAGAGGAAACAGCTGCCACGACCGGAGGGGAGGGCCTGTGGGGCAGCGCGCGCCACTTCTTGTACAGGTCCCAGTTCGGCTGGATCGGCGTCCCGTCGGGCAGCGCGACGCGGCGGGTCGTGTACGAGAAGTTGTAGCACGTGAGCGGCAGGCTGCAGAAGCCGCTCTGCCGGTTGCGCCAGTTCATCGAGCCGGCAGGCTCGCCGTCGGCGAAGACGCCGGGGCCGCCACCGATGGCGGTGAACGAGTTCTCGTTGATGCAGTCGCAGACCTTGATGCAGTAGCCGGGGTGGCCGGGCGCCGCGTGAGGGCACGCCTCCGGGCCGAGTAGCTTCGTGCAGGGCGCGCACACGACGGCGCCGGGGCAGCAGCGGCAGTCAAACGTGAGGTGCAGCTTGGCGCGGGCAAAGGAGTCGGGCGCGTCCGGGAAGAGGATGACGTTGCCCGGCTGGCGGGGTGGGGGGCGGCGAGGGCACGCGTCGGTCGTGGTTAGGTGGCAGGGCTCTGGACTTGGCTCTGGCCGGAGGTGGATGGCCAAGCTGTGAGATGGGTTCGGGTTATGCAAGGCTAGATCGGCGGAGGTCACCTGGCACCCCGTGGCCATCAGGCACTGCTGGGTCGCGCCCGCGCAATCACCGCGCTCGAGCCAACCCTCGCGGATGAACACGTGGTCGGCACGCATCTCGCGCCTCTCGGCGTCGTACTCGAAGGTTGCAAACGAGACGAGCTGCTCGGGGAAGGGGTTGCCCTCGAAGGCCCTGCATCAGCGACACTTGTCAGACACGAGTCGGGCGGCGATGTGACACGGACGCTCGGAAAGGCTGGCGCACCAGAAGCCCGCTATCTCCTCTGGTACAGCCGGGTTGGCTGGCAGCGCCGTCAGCGCAGCGAGCGCCTCCTCGTGCGTCTCGAAGAAGTGTACTTCAGTTTGCTCGTACCCCTGCAACTTGAGAAGGCACCTTGTGCATCCTACACATCCGCTCGTGCAGCAGCCAGCACAGGCATCGCGGTACTTGGCCGCACAGCAGCAAAAGGATGGGCCTCTCGTCGGGCACGGCGTGTTGCAGAGGACCTGCAGCAGGTTGAGCGGCTCATCGAGGATGTTGGGACAACAGAAGTAGCTGGTGCCGTAAGTAACTGGCTCATTGCAGTCAGCCTTGGCCCTCACTGCATCGTAAGCTTTGTTGGAGCCAGCGAAACCAGGCGGCACCGGATAGCTCGGCACGTCGCCATGAGCGGCGCCGTCGGCGACGCTGATGGAGGGTAGATCGTCAGAGTTGGGAGCGGCCTTCATTTGCGTCTGGCGTCGAGGCAGGAGTTGATGCTGCTATGCAGGAGTGAGGTAGGAGTTGATGCTGCAAGCAGGAGATGATGCCGACTCGCCTTGGCTTCAGCCGGTTTTGCCGAGAATTCTTTTCGCTCAGGCGCTCCCGGGTCACTTGTGCGTGCCGTCATCATCTGTCCAGCGTCCACCCATACCGTGTTCTTCACCTTACTACATACATACATCCCGGGTGCCTGTGTTAGTGCTGCACGCGCCAGTCCGCACCTAGAGAGAGTTGTTCTTGTAAGATTCTTTTGTGAAATTCTTTTTCACTCAATTCTTTTGAGTCGCGCTCCCAGTTCAGAGAGAGATTTTTGACAACCAACAAGATCTCACGAATCTCACGGTGATTTCTCCAGTTCAGAATCGCTAGCGGCTAGGGGTTGGGAGTGGTTATTATATTTCATGTGATGATCGCATTGAGCATATTGCAATACGGCTCAAATCCCATATCCGTCGTCTCAGAGTGACTGTCGCATTTAGTTATTTATGTGCATAGGCTCTACCGTGTGTGTCCACGCAGGCTCTCACACGAGCCACTACATGCGGCACTAAACAAAAGTGAAACCATTGAGATCGGCCATCTCAGCGAATCTGTACCCTGTGGTACCTGCCGCCTCTCGAGCCGCTACAGCCCTAAGCGCATAGCCTACACCCATGTCGAGGAGGGAATGCACTTACCGGCGCCGTAGACGAAGGAGACGTTCTGGATGTTGTTTGTGTCCGGCCCGCTCGCCATCTCCGGGAAGCTCGCCTGCATCTCTCCCGTCACCTCCTCCCACAGGCCCGAGAGCTCAGCGGACATCCTGCGCAGCGTGGGCGTGTAGCCGAACCGCACCGCGTCCGGTTTCGCGGCGACGATCAGCATCTCGTTCTGCACGCTCGTCTGCCGGTTGCCGCCGACGAGGCCCATCGCCTCCATCCCGCCGACGGTGCCAAAGTTGCCGACCGTCTCGAGGAGCGAGCCGCCGACGAGGTGGAGGCTCTCGCCGGGGTACGTGTCGACGGGCGAGGAGCACTGGGCGATCGTGTGCTTCGAGAGGACGGTGATGAGAGCCCACGTGATGACGTCGCGGTAGAATGCAGCGCCAAAGGCAAACGGGCTGCCCGTCACGCCGTACATTGCGTCGGTCGCGTCCTGCGGCGGCAGCTCGGCTGCCAAGAGGTTGACGGAGAAGGTGAGCGCGTGCTCGATGCCTGCGGCGGGGGCGGGAGGGGGTGGCTTGAAGACGGCCAGAGCGGGGCGGGAGGGGGTGGCTTGAAGACGGCCAGAGCGGGGCGAGGCGCGGAGAGGGCGGCTGTGTGGACGAGGCGGGGGCGTGGGCGGGGGCGGGCGGGGGCACCAATCATAAAGGCAGAGACCGGCGGCTCCCAGGGCTCGATCGCCGCCCCCACCTCCTCGACCGGTACGTCGAGCACCGCGGCCATGTCCAGCCCGGACGGGCACGTCTCGAGCGGAGGGTCGGCGAGGCAGCTCGTGGCCGCGGGCTCGGCGAGGCGCTGTGTGTACGTGCGGATGGCCGCTTCGGGCAGCGTTAGCCGGTTCTCGGCGCGGCACACCACCCGCTGCGCCGCCTGGCCGACAGGGTTGAAGAGGAGCTTCGCCTCCTCCGGCACCGCGCCGCGCGGCCAGTAGCGCTCTGGGCTGCACGGGTCTGTCAGGATGGGCGTGGCGGTCCGCTTTGCGACCGCGACGTCCGCGTTGTTGAACTTGCGCGACCCGAAGCCGGGCTGCTCGATGAGCGTACCGAGGGCCGCGGAGTTGATCCCCGAGGTTGCGTCGCCGCCCGGGGTGAGGAGCCGGAACACGGCCGAGTCGGGTCCCTCGTCGCGCGCGATATTCTGCGCAGAGTACGACATGGCCGCCGAGGCGATGTGCAGCGTCGCTGTGGAGGGGGGATGCCGGGTAGGCTGAGAGGCACGAGAGGAAGGGAGAACGGGACTAGGCTCGAGGCTGGGCGCACTGTGGTAGAACTGCGCCCCCTCGTGCGCGCAGTGCACGAGGCCGGGGATTAGGTCTGGTCGCGACGTCTCGCTCACGCAGGGCACGCCGGCGAGCTCGGCGGTCGTAGCGTTGGAGCAGGGCTTCGGCTTGAGGACGCCATCCACGAGGTGGAAGACGAGGCGCCCCTCTCGCGAGCCGCCGTGCATGAGCGTGCCCGTGTGGCTGTTGAGAGCGTTGCGTGGTGCCGAGGCGGGAGCGCCGTTGGTCGCCTCGCACGTGCCGACGCTGCCGTTGCCCGTGGTGCCGCACGGCGTCAGGCCGTGCACGAGGATCGGCGGCGCGCGGCTCTGGAACGGGTCGGACGCCGCCAGCTGCAGCAGCGTGTCGTAGTGGCAGACGAGGGAGTACTCCTCTGAGACGTCATCGTACGAAAGGAGCTGGCTCATCCACGAGTTTTGGAAGTGGTTCGCCAGCCGCTCGGTGATCGGGTAGGATGGGTCCTCCCGCCGCAGGTCGATGCCCTCCCCGCCGTTGTAGAAGCCCTCGACGTACTCGGTGAAGTCGCCGACGGTTGGCGTGATCTTGACGGCGAGCGAGATGTCGGCGGCGGCGACGGTCGGGTCGAAGAACTGCTGCGCAAAGTCGAGGTTGAGGAAGGACGGGCCGGTCACTCCCGTGATGAACTCGTTAATGAGGTTGTTGAGGCCAGCGCGGGCGGGGACGGTCGGGTACAGGAAGCTCTGGACGAGGCTGGCGCTGTTGAGCGAGCGGGAGAGGAGGGCGAGAACCGTGTCGGGGAGGCGCTGATGCCGCTCGCCCGGCGGAAGCAGCGGCGAGGGGATCACGGCGTTGGCCGAGGCGCCGTCGCCGGGAGTGAGGAGGTACGGGCGCGACATGATGTACAGCCCGTCGTCCTGCCGCCCGGAGGGGATGCCTCCGAGGCCCGGCACGAGGTCGAGGAGCGTGCTCCAGAGGCGGCGGTCCTGCAAGCAGAGGCGCCAAGGTTGGAGTGTGCGCTGAGGCTCTCGCATGCCGCGCCGGGGCGACCTGCAGGGCGGTCATGTGCTGAATGCAGTCACCAAACAGGTCGAGGTTTTTCAGGTCGGTCAGCAGCGACGGGTCCGCGGGCAGCTTCCCCTTGGTGAAGGGCTCGCAATAGTCGAGGAAGGCTTGCAGCGGGTCGACGACTAGCGCCCGCACGCACGGTAGGTGGATTCCGATCTCGGGCACCCTGCGCGTCCGTACGGAGCGGCACAGCGCGTTGATCGCTCGAGTTTCGTTTGACGCGCCGGCAGCCGCCCCTGCGGTGCACGTCTCTATGCAGCTCTCCATGAGAGGCGAGTCGTGGAAAAAGGTGGCGTAGCAGAGAGTCTCTGCAGGGTCTCTGACCCGATGAAGTGCGAACCGGCTGGGGCAGATCGATGCCTCCACCGCCTCCTCCACCACCCAAAACCCGATGGCGTAGCCGAGAAAGATTGCGAGCGACAGGCAGGAGACACCGAGGCAGACGCGCACCCAGCGTGTCACAAGGGTGCGAGACCACGCAGCGAGGCCAGCGCAGCAGTTGATTTCTGATGCCATGGCCGCTGAAGAGGAAGCTCTGGCTGTGGCCGATGAAGAGGACGTCTAGCTGGGCCGCGGAAGAGGACCTGGTTGTGGCGCTAACACACCCTTGGCCGCTGGCTGGCGCTCCTACAAGGGCGTCGATAGCATCACGTTCGCGTCGATTTCTTTTTTGAGCTCGAAGGACACACACATGGCACATCGCTCTCGGGCCCACAACATCCCGCACACCCGCCTCCCCCCCGCGCGCACCCGACCCGGCCGGGAGAAAGGGCATACCAGTATTTCTTTTTTATGAATTAGGCACGAAACCCAATACCGCGTTGGTGTCCAGTCCGAGCCTGACTGTTCTTCACCTTCCTACATACATACATACATACGAAAAGGGAGTTTCAGTGTACGGCCTTTCTTTCTTTTCACGACAGACTTTGCGCACACGACGGCTTCGATCCGTCCACTTTACTACTGAACTCCCATTCTGTCCCATTTCGTGCCTAATTCATAAAAAAGAAATACCGTCACGCCGAGGGCCCAATTTCAGAATCCTGCTTTTTTGGTTCGTCGAGAGCGTTTTGCGGCCCGGCGGGTAGGAGAACACATGTCGTCTGATGTGTCACTGTGTATCAGATACGTCATATCAGTCTTGATAACAAGTACGGTCGATACTCAACGAGTTCCGCGACCTACGCAGTCAAGCCTGGGGGGAACTGACCGCATCACTGCGGACTTCCGAAACCTCCGTGAGCACCTTTGGCGGTTCTCGCTCCCCATCGAGCTCTTCTTGCCGTCGGCTCTTCCTGTGTGCCGGCCGACAGAGCTCCGTGCCAGCCCTCCAACGTGATCGTGACGAGTGTATCGTTTTGACGGATCGACCGTACTTGTTATCAAGACTGATATGACATACACAGTGACACATCAGACGACACATATTCTCCCACCCGCCGGGACGCAAAACGCTCTCGACGAGAGCCACAAGAAGCCGTCCGCACAGCAAGCCGGTCGGTCGAACACGTTGCTCGCTCGATGCCGGCGAGCGCATGTCGCACGAGGTAGACGGTGGCGTAGCTAACATCACTGACGACGACCGTCCGCTGGCGTGAGCGGCGGCGATCGGTCCCTAACCTGCGGTCCTTCACCGCAATCGGTCCTTCGCCTTCGTCCCAACCCAAAAAGCAGTTCACCCTCGGGTATGTTCGTAAGAGCTACATACACTGAAAAAGCATGATTCTGAAGTTGGGCCCTCATGCCATTTCTCCCGGCCGGGTCGGGTGCGCGCGCGGGGGAGGCGGGTGTGCGGGATGTTGTGGGCCCGAGAGCGATGTGCCATGTGTGTCCGCCTTCGACCTCAAAAAAGAAATCGAGGCGCGAGCGTGATGCGATCGACGCCCTTGTAGGAGCGCCAGCCAGCGGCCAAGGGTGTGTTAGCGCCACAACCAGGTCCTCTTCCGCGGCCCAGCTACTCCGGCAGCTGGTCTCCTTCTTGGAGGCGTCAGCATGGCTGCCTCTGCCTCTGCCTCTGCCGGCGTCGAGAGGGAAGAGATGGAGCGCGAGCCCATCATCCCAAAGCCTCAGACGGAGGCGCACGCCTTCGGCACACGCTACCTCACCCACTCCATCATCGACACGCCGCTGTCGCTTATCGGCACAACCGTCGTCGCGCCCTTCATCGCCCTCGGCCTGCTCCTCTCGGCTCCCTTCTGCGGCCCGCTGCTCTACCAACGATTCGCCATGTGGCTCATGACGGGCCCGCTGAGAGACACGCTCGCCGGCGTGCTTCTGATGCGCATCCCAACCTTCCTCTACGACTGGCCGATGATTTTCTGGTGGTTCCTCTCGTGCTCGATCCCGTGCTCCAAAAAGGACCCGAAGGCGCAGGCCTGGTGGGTGGACACGCCGCTCTCGCAGGCCTACGCCGAGTCTCGCGCGGCCAAGTACGGCAGAAACCTCATATTCTGGAGCACGCTCCGGATCGGCGACCACAAGCTCGCCACCGAGATCGCGATGGATCCGAAGCGCAAGCGTACTGGCGCGCTGGACGCGTGGCAGCTCAAGGCCTTCCACGAGACGCCGCTCGTCGCCAACCTGCCCGTATGCTACAACACCGATGGGGCCTACCACCAGAGCTGGAGCAGGGCCTTCTTCAAGTACGTGGCCGGCGCCCGCGAGGTGACCAGCAAGTGGGACGACGACTCGCTGCCTTGCAGGGCGGCCCTGGAAGCCAGCGGCGCCGCAGAGACGGCGAGGAAGTGGGCGGCGGGCGGGCCTCCGTCATACACGTACGACAGCGTCGGCATGCTCAACTTCAAGCTGCTGATGAACCTTCTCTTTGACGTCCGCGAGGAGGCCCTCACCAAGGGTGGCCTCCACAAGCTCGTCGCCCCGCCCGGGATCGGCGGCTTCGCCGCGGCGTACGTCCTCACGCCGCCCTCGTGCCCGCCCATCTTTGGCACCGCCTTCTCGCAGAGCGTGATCCTGATCAAGACCTTCCTCTTCCGCCACTGCAACGCCCGGCTCTCCACCAAGGCTGCCGGGCCGAACGAGCTGCTCGGCAGGCCCATCGACTGGGAGGCGATGGCGAACGAGGTGGACGGCATCGAGTGGATGGGGCAGAGCCCGGCGCGCGTGCCCGGCTGCTGGGACGCCTTCATGTCCCACTGCAGCTTTGGCGACTGCTGCGGCGTCAACGGCGCGCCCTGCTGCGACTGCTGCGGCTGCGCGCCATGCTTCTGCGCGTGCGGCTGCGAGATCAGCGAGGTGCCGTCGATGGCGCAGCCAAAGGTGGACGCGCTGCTCAACACAATCTGCTGCACGCTCGTCATCAACGCGGCGGGGCCGCAGGCGGGCATCAGCACGCTGCTCGGCAAGTTCATCGCCCGGCCGGTCCCCGCCATGATGGCCCTGTCGGCGACGCCCGCCTGTTGCAGGCCGAGCGGCTTCCGGGGCGACCTCCGCATTGAGGTGCGCCCGCCCGCCGCCCCACCTCCTGCCCCACCCGCTGCACCACCGCGTGCCTGCACCCCGGCACACTCCTGCGCGGTCCGCGCCGCCGCCGCACGACACGGCGCCGCGCCAAGAGACGTGACGCATCTACCGGCGCTGCGCAACCGGCCTGCCCTCCGACTCTCTCTCTCCCCCCCCCGGGGCAGGCCCAAAAGTACGAGTCGGACAAGATCGCTTACATGCTCGAGACGCTTCGCCTCGACGGCCCGCCCGTCGCCGGCTCACACAAGGTGGTTGACGAGCGGGGCTTCGAGTGCCCGTTCCTGAACTCGCAGAAGGTGAGCTTGCCGCCCGGCTCGGTCGTGATGGCAGACTACTTCTCGTCGATGATGGACCCGAAGGCTTGGAACTGCCCGTACGACTTCCGGCTCGACCGCGACCAGGACAAGTACATCTTTTTCAACGGCCCTTACAAGCGGCCCGCGCCGCGAAAGTGCCCCGGCGAGGCGCTGTCCATGTGCCTGATGTCGCTCGTGCTCGACGCCGTGCTGGAGCATAGCGGGTGGAAGGAGGGAGGAGGAGACGGCTCGCCGACGGCGGCGCCCGCACGCATCTCGATGGAGCGGGTCGATGACCCGATCGACGTCGAGAGCCACGCTCAGGCCGGCGCCGCGTCGACACCGTCCTCGTGAGCACGCCCTGGTGCGCGTAGTGTTTAGTGTCAGCTTGCATGCCCCCCGCGACGTCTAGTCTAAAGCCGTATGTAGCATCGGGCAGTGTCGCAGAGGATGTTGTGGTGTTGTGTGTGGAGCTGGTTAGCGTGGAGTTGTTGTCTCGTTGTTTCTCAGCTCGTATTTTTCGAGCGCAGCCGAGGGGAAAATACAACGAGAGAGCGGAGACAGACAGCCTACGCGCTGCCTACGCGCTGGCCCTACTTTACTTTAGTCGACGGGGTTGCGGAGAGTTCAGTGAATTGGCTATTGCCGTCCCATGGGTGTGCGAGCGAGGAGTGCCTCTCGCTCAGCCTCCGGGACCAGCGAGCCGCCCGTTGCCCAAAAGACGTGGGAGTTAGGAGATGGGTAAAAAGGAACAGGTCCCCGCCCGTGACGAGTGACGAGAGTGAGTGTGCCTGTAGCTCTGTGCCTCTGCAGATTTTCCGAGTGTGAGTGAGTATTCTTGATACGAAACCACGACGACACACACCAGTCGACTCGCATCGGTTGCCTCCATGAACGGCGGAGCTATTCTCGCGTCCACACCACACCTGGCTCCAACGTGGACACGCCCATAGCTGGGGACACTACTAGGTCACGCACGCATGGCATCAGAAGTTTTATCTCTGGGCCCCGAAAGGCATCTCTAGCAGCATCGTTACGCATGCGCCCTCCCCTCCTGGGCGCATGCGCCTCACGTCTCGCCAGAGCATAAGCCCTTGGTGTGCCACGAGACGACACACACACACACACACAGATTTTCCGAGTACTCGCGTAGTATAGGAATCCTAGACACGTAGGGGGGTGAGGACGGCGGCGCGTGCCCACTCATTAACCTCCGTCCACTGGCACCAAGCACCAGATCCGCGGCACGCGCCAGCCTCGCTGATGGTGCGCCTCACCACGTCCGTCCTCTTCCTCCACCTGTCGCCACCTGGGCGCGAGGACGGCGTCCTGCTGCGCTGCGTGATGTTCGACTGGTTCCGTCTCGGAGCGACCGAGGTCGTCCGGGCCCCAGCCGCAGTCAAGGTTAGGCGGTACTACTCCACCTTCCCCGAGGCGGCGTCCGCAGTCGCGGTCGCCCTCTCTGGACGGCGGAGTTGCTACTGGAAGGAGTACATGGTGTACGTGCGCTGCGACCTCCCCCAGCCCTTCACCAGCGCGCCCGGATGCGGCACCCTCCAGTGCGACTTCTGCCTCGACGGCCAGTCGATGATCGCCACGCACGCCTCGCCGTCGCTCGCGGCGCTCGAGGTGACGTCTCTCTCCTCGGACGACGGCTCGGGCGAGTGGGTGGAGGCCGGGCTGCTCCGACCGTTTGTGCCGCGTGGCACCGCGCCGGCCATCGTCGCGCGGCGGGTGGCCGACGACATTTCAAAGCGGAAGCATCACATGAGCCACAGCAACGCCGGCTCGGCGCACAGCTCGTCCGGCTCGACCTCGGCCGCCTCCTCGAGCTCCGCCTCCGCCGCGAGCACGGCCGACGGCCGCCTGCCCGTCCGGCCGGGCGGCAGGGTGCGCTTCCGGGTTGGCGGCCTCGTCTTTGTCGACTGGCACCGGCGCGGCACCGGTGCCCCGGCGCCAAGGCACAACCTCCCGTGGCAGGTTGCCGCCGCCGAGTACGTGCGGATGCCGGCCGGCCGGACGGAGCGCCGCACCGAGAGGAGCCCTCTCGATGTGACGCTCACGCCGTGGGGCGCCGCGCGGCGCGAGGAGGACTCCATCGTCGTGCCGCGCGGCTGCCTCGTCAAATTCGAAGGGGGCTTCGCGACGGCGTGGCACGCGGCACGCCCGGAGCAGCGCGAGCTGCTGATGCGGGCGCTCGAGTACGAGGTTCAGCTCAAGAGGCATCACAGGCCGGGCAGCTGCCCGGGGGTGGAGAAGATCTGGGCCAGCATGATGGGCGACGAGCCCCTGCCCCCGCCCGCACCCGGCACGGAGCCGCCGACCTAGCGCACGGGGCGCGCGAGAGGGGGGATTTCCGCGCTCTCGGCGCTCGGCTCGCGCGCCACACACACCCCTCTGGGTCCCCACAGAGAGAGGCACACATCCGGCACGACCCGCAATGTCACAACGAAGTGACAAAGTGTGTGTGACAAGAGAGGGGGTGTGACGGCGCGCGATGTCTTCGGAATATCCACTGAGACGCTCAGGAATCTTTTGGGACGCCTCGGCAAACTTTTGGGACGCTGTGAGGAGGGGAACGTGTGAAATCTTGGGTCTATCTCGGAGGCGAGGCCCCCTCGTGGGATGGCAACAGTCGAGATACCTCGCTCGCACTCCATGTGCGAGAACGCAGAGAGAAATGAAAGCCTGACAGCCTGACATGTGACAGCCAGAGCTCAGGCCTCAGCCGTAAAAGGTATAATCTATAAAATGGACCGTAAAGTCAGTCTTCCCTCTCTTGTGTACGACGTGGGGTCCGCTGGAGACCTTCCAGCTTCCTGCCGCAAAATGACTCAAGACTCCGCTGCAGTGGCACCTGATGCTAGATGATGGTCCGTTCGCTGGCGGGGACATCCCCCGGCCGTGGTGCAGCGGGCCGGCCTAGGGGCCGGTGGGAGGATGAGCGGATGCGCTCACAGAAGAGGTCACCGCAAATCCTCCGAGACTTGGAGAGAGCCTCGTGGGTGGACTCGCCGTGACCACCGCCGCAGCGGTCCCGCAGCGATGCTGCAGCCTCGCGGCCCCACCCGTCCGAGGCCACCCACGAGGCACAGCGCTTCGCCTTCCAATGAGGCCCGTGCAGCACGCCACAATGCCCGTGATGGGCTCGCTCCTCCCCCGGGCCCCGCTGCACTGGCCGCAGCGCCGGCCACGCCGTTGATCCGGCGTCGATGTCCCGCCCTACCCGTCCGTGGGTCGGTGGGTGGTGGCCGCCGAGCCCCAGTTCTCAATGAATTGCAAGTCGACGACGCGCGCCTGTCTCGTGGCAACCGGCCGCGGAGTCACTCACCATCCTTTGAGCAGGGCAGGGCAGGGCAGGGGAGGGGAGGGGAGGGGAGGGGAGGGGAGGGCTGGTCAAGGCCGCAGAGTCACGCACCATCCTTTTGCCGGTGATGCTCCCCACTCCCCCTCTCCCTCCTCCTCCGCCGACTATCTCATCTGTTCTCGACATGGGCCCGGTGGGGCCGGCGCGCCTTGTCGGCTGCAAAGCGGCGGTACTCGTCAAAGATGGCGATCATCGACCTGCTGCCACACAACCGGTGTGAGCAGGCGCCGCGCGTTGCGTCCCCGTGAGGTACGGCGGCGACGCGCCAGCGCTGCATGCGGCGCAAGCAGCCGACAAGGCAGCCGGTGCGGTGCTTGCCTAGGTTAGGGGGTGGTGGGGGGTCTGGGGCGCAGGTAAGAGGAGGCGTGACCGAGGTCGAGCCGGGCTGACGCCTTGGTTGCAGTGTATGAGCACGGGGTGGTTGGCGCAGTCAAGCACGACGTCGAGCGCGCGCTGGATCACCTATGCGGTGGCGGGTGGGACGGAGAGCACGGTCGAAGCAGTCTCGGACAGCCTCGGTCTGTCTCGAGACATCTCGGGCTAGTCACCTCCTCTGGCATCTCGTCCAGGTCCTTGTTCCCTACAGCAAAGGCCTGTGTCTCCAACGAGACGTGAGAGCACACAAAGGGGAGGAGGCGTGGCGAGGTAAAGAAAGCTACGGTGGGCGCTACAGCGGCTGCCCGTCATCCCGAACTGGTGGAGCGCGATGCCCTCCGCCTCGAGGAAGCGGAGGTGCGTCTCTGGGTACTCCTCCGGGCACAGGTACACCACCTGCGAGCAGCGGAGCTAACGAAGTGGCAGGTGCAGAGTGGGTAGAGGCGGAGGCAGAGGCGGTCTGGGCAGGGGAGGCGGTCTGGGCAGAGGCTATGGACAGAGGCGGCAGCGGGGCACGGCCGCGCCGAGCGGAGGCCGCGCTGCTTCAGGAAGCCAAAGTTCTTCTGGACTGGGAAGGCGGAGCGGAAGACACCAGACCAGACCACGGCGAAGTTGGGCGGCGGCAGCTGCGCTTCAGCCATGTAAACCAGTGCGGTGGGTCTCTCAAGGGGCCCCCGGGGGGCGGCGATCGCTGTGCCTCTCTCTTGGACCCTCCGGCAAACGTGGTGGTCTCGTGTCACCAATGTGGGACCAGTGCGGCGTCGCGCCATCGACAGCTCTGAACTGCGCCTCACCACTGACCGGAAAGGCCGCCAAGTGGGCCAGCACCGGTCGCACATTGTGGCAGCAGTCAGCAGTGCATGTCTGATAGCTAGAGCAGCAGCGTCAGGGTCGCAGGGTCGGATCGTATCAAGCCTCTCGCCCGGCCGGCCGCGTGCAGACGTCGCGGCCTGTCTGCTGTCTGGAGTGATCTGTCGGCGGTCAGTACGACCGATCAGGTTAGACCCTCTAACCATCAGAAAACTCTATCTGTATGTACTCCTCGAGATCTCTCCAAATCTGCCCTCTGATTAACACTAGTGGAGCCGGAGCCCATTTGCACTGCTGCGCGGCGCACGGTGTGGGCCGGGGGCCCCCGCGCCGGCCCAGAGCCCCGGACGCCGGACAGAGAGGGAGCCCGCCCCATCCCTAGTGGTGGCGTGTGCGCGCAGCCTAACCAACCGGCACGGGCACTCCTCCTCGTCGCACATGTTCGCACACCCCCCCTCCTATCGCTTCGGCGCGAGCGTCCGTGTCCACGCACGGCCTGCAGAGCCGGCCGCAGCACAACGACTGCGGTGGTACGCTCCTCTCTAAGCTGCACGCTCGCGCCTGAGCCGCCGCAGCCAGAGAGGCCCGCCGCCCTCGCGCCGCCGACTCACTCCTCCGCCGCCGCCTCCGTAATAGAGGCGTCGCCGCCCGTCTCCAGCAGCTCATGGCGGGGGTTCGCCGCCGCCTCCTCGTCGAAGCGCGAGAACGCGAAGCGCGTCTCGTAGGGCGACGCCACCTCGTACATCGCGGCGCTGCCTGTGACAACGGGTGGGTGCCGCTCAGCAGCCGTGAGAGAACCCCCGTGCCGCGTTGTCCTCTTGGCGCCTTCGATCGCGCCCTCCGCCATCGCGCTCGTCTTAAAGCGTCCGGCGTAGCTGCCGGGGTAGACGTCGCGCTTTCCGTTGCGCGGCGTCGGTGCGGAGAAGGACTGGCCCACGATGCCTACACGCGAAGGCTCCAAAAATAGTCTGCACGACGCCTCCGATTGCACAACTTTGCCGACGATGCCGTGAGGGAGGGAGCGGGCCGCCGCGTCGCCGGCCGAGTGGATGTTAATGTCGAGCTGGTGCTTTGGGCCGGAGATCCAACCCTCGACGCTCTTGGCGCCGACGGTGAAGGTCCAGCCGCTCACCTTTGGGAGGGGTGGGGGTATGAGGGCGGCTCTGTACTTGCGTTCAAGTGGGAGATTATCGCTGGCCGGGAGAGCGGCCGCCTCAAACTTGGCAGACGAGTAGTGCGGCTTGATGGAGAGCTCCTCGCAGCGTCGCAGCGTCGTCCCAAGCCCAAACGAGAAGGCGTGGCCGCCGCAGGAGCCGGTGATGAAGTCAAAGCCCGTGTTGAACTCGGTGAGCCGTGAGGCAAGGAACGAAGCGTTTGCCCACTTGCGCTTGGCTCCGCCCACGCGTGCGACGATGTGCGCCTATGCGCGAGCCGCGCGGTGTCACGGGCCTGCCCTGGGAGCGGGAGGGGCGAGGAGGGAGGGGTTACCTCGGTGATGTAGGACCCCTCGATCGTCGTCCCGGGCCACCAGGGCGGCGTGAACGTGGCATCTTCGGTCTTGATGTTGAGAGCGATGCCGGGCGCGGAGAAAAAGCAGACGATCGCGCCGTCCTCGCCGCGGTAGTCGGCGCTCCCACCGTGCGCAAAGTGGACGTGCGGGTCGCCAGTGATGATGATCGGGACTTCACCAGGCGGTGGCCCTGGAGGGGGTGGCAGCGACGGTGAAAGGGACAGTGGAGCGACGCATTTTTCGTAGTGCGCGAGGTCTTTCATGTTCCGGGAGGCCCCCTCGTAGGTCATGACGATGTACGAGCAATTTCCTACCATGCCCGTTAAGTTTGTCTGCTTGTTGTTCAGGCAAACTTCCGACTGATATTGATCCTGTGTGCACTCTTCCGTCTCGCCGTAGCAATCATAGCCAGGAGTGTCGCTTTCATAATTGTAACCCAAACTCGGATACGAGGCTCCAGTGATCGTAGGGTGTTGAACTGGATTGGGACCGTAATGTCTGCGCAGGCATTGCAACTTCGCATACTGGGTGCCTGTTTTGGAGAAAAAGCTGGATTCTGTGAGAATGCCACAGCTGTCCATGGCGTACATCGGAGCGCCGTCAGAGTAGCAGTCGGCATCAACGGACTGATCGGGGCAACGAAGAGACTGTGAGAGTGTTTCCCACTCATTTGCTTGTGAGTAGGCCGCCTCGAATTCTGAGGCGTTCGGATACTCGGGGGGATAGAAGAGAACCTGCGATTGACGTGCATAGCCGGTGAAGAACGCGCCCGAATCGCTGCTGTTGAGGTTCGTCGGCCACGCCGATGTTCCCACTCCCACACCATTGTTCCGTTCTCGCGCCGTCCACCAAGCGCAACCTGTGGAGAGCCCGAACCTCATTACGGAGCATGCTTCCTCTCCGGCACCCACGCACATGGCGATGCAATCCTCCAATGTAAGAGCTACCTCTTCACCATCGGGTGGTTGGTCGCGCTGGCTGTTACACTGCGGCTGCGGGTCAACGACGTCGAGCTTTGCCGGGGCGACAAGGACTCCGTTTTCAGTTAGCATGTTGAGCAACAAGTCTTTGTTATCTCCCGACGAATGCATGTACGTAACCCAAAGCAGCACGCCATTGCATGTTTTCACTTCCGCCTCAATCGCGTAGGACGCCGTTGTACCAGCCGGGTTCGTGCTCGTCAATGAGCACGCGCCCACGGGATATTCCGTTGGATCGGTATATGCTCCCATATTGGTGTTGTTCGAAAAGACGCCTTCCACTCACAAGGCAAAGGTGGAGCAGAACTCGGCCTGCTTGTCGGGGACGAAGCTGCCCAGGACGGTGAAGGAGACAAAGTTGACTCCTCCGCTGAACATCGTCGCGGAGCACCTGCTGACGAGTCCGCTGAAGCGATTCGGCCCCAAGCCGAGGATGTTGGAATCCAAGGAGAGAGAAGGGTCTGGAAGAGCCAGCACCCCGGCGATGACGGCGAGCATTTGCCCCCAGCCCTCCTCGCCCTCAATTTGCGCGCACTGTGCCCGGTGTCTGGCGCGTCGCTAAAGGAACGGCTCACATCGAGCCCAGCCTCGATCGCGATTACCGCAAAGTCGTTTCATTCAACCTTCCTGAACTGTATCGTCGTCGTCGTCTCGAGGTCTCGAGGTTGGATATCCTTCGGCCGCGTTGGGTCGTCGTCTCTAGCCAGTCACTCAAGCTCTCAGAGGTTGGCTTAAAGAGGATCCGGAGCGCGGTAGAACTCTGGGGCTCTCTCCGAAGAGAGCGTAGCGTACGCGGAGGGAGCTCAGAGTTACCCCGTTCTCTGGAACCTCTTGAGCATGAGGAACTCGCAAAGAGACGAATGCGATCGATTCGATCGGGCGGTAGATGAGGGATGGTGGTGGGTCGCTTCGAGAACTGGTCGATTGGCGCCTGTCTGAGCAGGGGCCGACACTAGTCGGGAGCTGTGTCAGGAAGGAGCCTCGTCGCTCGGAGGCCCCGCGCACAAAACGGCGGGCAGCGGCGGGCGCGGGGTAAGGGTTCCCGCCCGCTAGGCGCTGCCCTCTGCGCCGAGGCTCGACCCGCTTCTCCTACAGTTCACTAGCACAAACTAAAGTTTGTTTAATCGTCGTCGTCGTCTCTAGCCAGTCACTCAAGCTCTCAGAGGTTGGCTTAAAGAGGATCCGGAGCGCGGTAGAACTCTAGGGCTCTCTCCGAACGGAGCGTAGCGTACGCGGAGGGAGCTCAGAGTTACCCCAAACCGGAGCGAGGGAAGGAGCGATCCCGGGGTGAGCGACTCCAAGCGTAGCGCAGCGCGTGAAGGATCCCCAAATTGAGTGAGTGACGGTCCTATTCGGTCTCGCCCTCAGAGCTCGGGGATGCCGAGGTGCCCAACCAGTTGGAGCCGCGCCGACGCGCCGCGCGCGACCACCAGCCAGCTTTTCAGCGGGGCCGAGCACGGTGTGTCGAAAGAGTAGACACTCTCCGGTCCATCCGGAATTTTGGCGGTATAGTTAGCCAGTAGTTAGCACTGCTGCTGCAGACAGGGCCCGCGCGACCCCATGCCCTTCTCGGATCCAGCTCGCTGAGGCTTGGCGCCACCCCGGTGACCGCCCATAGGTGGCTGATCGCGGCGCCGCCCATCGCCGCTTCTGCGCGCGTGGTCCTCAGAGGGCACCTGCGGCTCTCCCTCGTCGCGTGACCGCCGCCGACATCATGTACTCGGTCGTGCCCGCCGGCGCGGAGCTGAGCCACGTCGAATTGTTCGGTGGCTCGACCGCAGGCGCGCCCACCCTTGGCTGAGTACGTGATGTGGGCGGCGGTCACGCGACGGGGGAGAGCTGCAGGTGCCCTCTGAGGACTACGCGCGCAGAAGCGGCGATGGGCGGCGCCGCGATCAGCCACCTATGGGCGGTCACCGGGG